TAGAAACTATTTCCGATTAATTTTAATAATTTTTAAGTGGTCCTTCATTTATTGGGGGGCACTGTATATATATATTAATAAACATACTTAATTGTTAATAAATAAACAAATATTTTTTTATCTTATATTATTAATTAAACTTATGAAATTTTGTTTATTTTTTTTTATATAAATTTTTTTTTGTAATAAATACTTTAAACAATACAAAAATAATCTTTACAAAAAGAATAAAAACCAAATAAAATAAAGAACAAAGAATATTTTAATAAATTTTAATTGATGATTTGTATTTGCTTGTTTTAAATAATTAATTCTATTTATTGTTTATTTAATTTGATATTATTGAAATATCAATAGATGTTGATTTATTTTAAACATACAGTATACTGAATAAAATTTGTAAGAATTTTTTATCGAATTAAGAAAAAATTTATTTAAAACCAAAATTCAAATTAATGTTAAATAATTAAAACTTAAAAGGCTAACGAATATATTTTTTTAAACAAAAGCAGGTTTTCTTTATTATTTATCAATGTGTGTATTTATTCATTTACTAAATTTTGAAATAAAAAATTTTCTTAAAGGTAAATTTTGCACCCAGATTTTTCCAAGAAATATTCATGTTTATAATTTAACTAAAGCGTTTGATTTTTTTAAAGTATTTTATTGAATTATTGATATGCTCTTTTTGACATAATTTGAAGATCGGATTTACAAAGAAATACTTAAAACTTTATTTTACATCAACATAATTGAAAAGTGTGTTCCTCAGCTTGATGCTTATAAAAGGATGGTAGGAGGTTCTTGTCATGGAAGTTCGCTTATCACATAGGAAGTGGTATCGTGAGAAAGTGGGATTGGGAAAATATATTAGGTTCTTTTGGGAAATTGACATTTCCTTCCCTTTCGATCACATCTTTCACATGTGTTATCATCTTTTTTGATACAACCTTTCTTGGATGTTCGACACCCATCACATACCCTACGTTGTTTTCCGGATTTATTGGAAATTTTTGGACAAGGTTTGTCGACATAATGCTAATTTATTATTTCGAGAAAAAACAAGAAAATTAGTAAGCCGCATTGATGTTTATGTACAGTAGGTCCTTGGGTGAGACAAAGCAAACCGAAATTTATTGAAAGTATTATCAAAAAAAAAAAAAAAAATACCTTTCTAGCCGACCGCTTTCTAATCATCGGATCTCCTAAAAACTGTGCATAATCTCCGCGATTTCTGGCATCGATGACGACACTTTGTCCTTTTTGAAGGGAAAACTCTTCAATAATTTTTCCGATAGGATCTCGTGGAAGTTCCAAACCAGCAGGTCGAATTTCATGCCACCCTTCATGATTAAATGAATCATATGATTTGACACGTAAAGATTCACCTTCGTACAGATCGAAGGCCGGATATCCGAAATGGGTGGATATAGCTTCGATAATAGAACTGGGTGTATCAGTGCTTGAGATTTTAAAGCACAGAGTCTTAAGTTCCGGGAAGTTTGCTCTATCTATTATCGTACATATCTTGTGGTCCAAGGTTGGAACGTCTGACATTTTAAAGGATTTTTGAAAAGAGATAGAGGTGAAGGGAAACTCAAGAAGAATTAGAGAATATATATATATATATAACCGAATTGATATTTATAGGTAGGATATAGTCGTGCGGAATTTCAATTGAAACTAGGGTTAGTAATCATCCGAAATTGGTAAAAAAAGAAGAATTCACGATGAATGCTGACATGAGAAGATGATGAAATATTATTTATATGAATTGAGAAAGTAAATATTTTTTATTTTACTTTATATTTTTTTTTTAAAAATAAAGTTTTATTAAATGATACTCGACGGAAAGTTTCGATCCCCTTGATCTCCAAATCGTTTTGTTCGGTAAATTATAATTAACCAATTACATATGGCGATGCTTAATTACTTAATTTTTCCTCTTGATATTTTCTGCGTCGATGGTAACGATTTTTTAAAAAAGGATCCATACTGTATGTGCCACACACGTACATTCTCACACTCCAAAGCATCATCATCCCAAAATATTCGTAGATACATAATCGCATGACGAATTCTTCCGAATTTCAGGAACACAATCGAGTCCCAATGAAGAATTCGTGATTTTCACCTTGCATTTTTGGGTAGGATGTAATGATTACCAACCAAATAAAGAATAACTTCGTAAAGCTGACACAGCGAAATTGTGCTTACTTAAGAGATTGAATGGGTTGTAAAAAAGTACGCGGTAAACTTAAATAAAGTAAAAAATGAAAAAACGCGTAATAATTGATTTAAAAAAACACCAATGGAATCGAAGGCATGAATCAAATGAACTTTCCATGCAAGTCTTACGCCTATTCGAACTGCGGAACCAGTTTTTACATGATTTTGGAAAGATGATATAAAGACTATGAAACACAATTTTTTGCTTTTGGTAGTCATAATCTAAGTTTACTATATTTTTTTTCTTTATGACCCTTATAAAGCAAAGGCATAAGAATAAGGACACATTAGGTATTTCTGGGCGATCGGAAGTAAAGCCTGACGGAGTTTTAATTCATACAAGATATGAATCATCTGTCGGAAATTTGACTTACAGTGAATAATGCTGAAATAGGATTTCAAGACCCTATCATTGACCGAACTCTTTGGAATTTAGCTTTACCATCCCTCCAATAACCAACAAAATATACGGTTTACTATATTTTATTTCGCAACTGGAGTAAGGTATCCGAAATTTTCGTTGCTCTTGTGCAAAATGATTTGCTGCATTGATAATGTACACACGACATGTGACGACGAAATGTACGATTTATTTTGTTTCCAAATTTGGCGTTTAATTTATCTTTCAAAGGTATACGGATAAGGAATTTTCTTTAATTCGTGTAATCTCCGATTTGGGGGGTCATGAATGGGTTGAAACTACAATAGTCTTTTGTTTGTCGAACAATGCATCTATCCCCAAAAAACCTAAAGCACGATTAATTTTCTCAACGTCCGTGATGCCACATTATAAATTTCACTCTGGTAAACTTTGTAACATACAGCAATTTCCTACAATGATGAGACGATTGAATTAGTGATATTAATGATGCAACTAATTTACTTGCGACCTGAATGAGCTTTAGAAATAGCATACGGATTGCTATTTATACTAAACCACGCTTGTTTATCATCTACTTTATATATAGTACATATAAAAAAATATTGATATACAACAATTAAACTTTGGAATAAGTCAATATTTTAGTTTAATAAAATCGAATACTGCATGCATATATCGTCCATAAATTCGAATTAAATTCAACGCTACTTTATAATTACCGATGTCAAATTACATTTTTTTTGATTTTATTTATCAACTAGAAGAATGAATGAAACCAAGGTATTAGTTGACGTAAAACGAACGTAATCGATTTGCTTTGGAACCAAGGACATCCCTTGAATCGAAAATAGTATTACTTAAAATAATATTAAAAATTCTATGCACAGTAAGTCCCAAAAAGTAATTGATTTATATAAATTTGCTTTTTTATTTAATTTAATAACATATATTTCATTTAATATAAAATATGCACCGTAACATATATAATATCCTGTATACTGTACTTATACTGTATATAGTACATGTACAGTATATTGTAAAAGCCTTTTAAATATAGACTCATATACGATATAAAAAATAATAAAAAAAATAAATCAAATACAGTAAAACCCTAATCTAAAATTTTGCAATATTACGATAACTTCATCATCAATCTTTTGACGATTCTCATTTCGCGTTTCTTATTTATCCAATTCATAATATTATTGTTTAGTACAATATTTTAAAAAAATTTTTTTTTGTTTTCTTGATCGTTTCTATATTCTTGTATTATTAATAAATTATAATGATATATTTAATAAATTGTAATGACATTATTTTATAAACCATTTAAATATAATATTACAAATACAGTATATTATAAAATATAATGTTAATGTATTTTTAATAAACAATTTTAATAATATATTAAACCAATTATTGATAATGTTTTGTTTTTACATGTAACAAAATAAATGAAAAGAAAAAAAAATTTTTTTATAAATTGAAAATAAATAATTAAAAATCAATTCTATTATTAATTCGATTACATAAAATCTATAAAATTGATTTGATAAATTACATAAATTATATAAGTTTGCATATATCTTAATTTATATATTTTATTTTATTTCTATTGTATAGAGGAAAAAAAAATTTATACAAATGTTAAAAAATTGCAAAAAATAAAAATAAAAAAAAGTATATCAGATATAAAAGATATATCAAGTATAAAGAATATATCAGGTATAAAGAGTATATCAGGTATAAGAGTATATCAATTATAAAAGATATATTAAGTATAATGAATATAATAAGTATAAAGTAAATAAATATATAAAGAACTTATAAATAGTCAAAAATAAAAGACAAGTAAGATAAGTATTATACAATAATTAATTAATTAATAAATTGTATTTTATCGATAAATTTTGTCTTGTGACTTAATTCCAATATAGTGTAACTAACAAAATTGCTATATATAAAGTAATTATAAAATACAAAATTAACAGATTGATATATATTGACATTAAATTCTAGTCAAATTTATATACCTTTTTTAAAAAAAAACTGTTTTAATTATTACATAGTATAGACAGACCAAAGCAATTAACTTGTTATAGTTTTACTATAACAATATAATAAATAAAAATAATTTTCAAATTATTATATTTTTTATTAAAAAAAATTATTTTTAAAAAATTATGTTTTTATATATAAATATATACAATAATACTTGTAAGTTTTTAGAAATTTTTTTTGAAAATTAAAAAATATATTATTATTTAATAAATATTAATTTAAAAAATACAAAAAAATTTAGAATAAATCTTTTAGTATTAATAAATAATCT